GATCAGTTCAATTTAATTTTCAGTTTAACATAATATAAAGATCACTTATAAGAGTGGGGGGAGAGTAGTGTTCCTATGAACCAGTTTATAAACTAGTTCAATGTTAAAAATAAAGAAGAAAGCATATAATTACAAAGATAAAAATACTTATATTTCGTAATCTACTAGGCCAAATTTAATGGTTTAACTACTATTTTGATTGCAAGAGACTCCTCTACAATTTTTATTAGAAGTTGAAAAAGGTTTACTTAGTAAAGAAAAATTTTTTAGTTGAAAACTCTAAATTCAAAAATTTTTTACTTTAATAAAATTTTTGAATTTTAACTAAACCATTTTTCTTTACTAAGTAAACCTTATAATAAAAGTTGTAGAGGAGTATCTTGCGATCAAAATAGTAGTTAAAAATATTAAAATTGGCCTAGTAGATCACAAAATATAAGTATTTTTGTCTTCGTGATTATATACTTTCTTCTTTATTTATATTATAAATAAAGAAGAAAGAAGAAGAAAGCATATAATTGCAAAAACAAAAATACTTATATTTTACAATTTACTAGGCCGATTTTAACATTTTAACCACTATTTTGATCGCAAGATACTCCTCTACAACTTTTATTATAAGTTGAAAAAAGGTTTACTTAGAAAAGAAAAATGGTTTAGTTAAAATTCAAAAATTTTATTAAAGTAAAAAATTTTTGAAATTAGAGTTTTCAACTAAAAAATTTTTCTTTACTAAGTAAACCTTTTTCAACTTCTAATAAAGATTGTAGAGGAGTCTCTTGCAATCAAAATGGTGGTTAAACCATTAAATTTGGCCCAGTAGATTACAAAATATAAATATTTTTATCTTTGTATATATGCTTTCTTTTTTATTTTTGACATTAAACTAGTTCATGAACCGGTTCATAGGAACACTAGAGGAGAGCATTAAAAAAACAAAAACAAAAAAATATAGCAATTCTATTGACTGTAAAAAATGTAAAAGACAAAAGATTAATATAGCAATTTGATTAGTTAAAATTGTGTTTTTTTTTATACAAAGTTTTAAAAAATAGAGAGGGGAGATTATGTTAACAGAGAACTAAATTGGTTTGGCCTTAATAAAAATATTTAAATTTGAATTCATACATTTCTTTGCCAATTCAACATAGCAGCCAGAAGTTCCAAAAGCAAACCCTGGATATAATCTAGTATAACTTTTTACTACAAGTTCTTCATTGAATTAATAGCCTTTGTCTAGTTAACATTTTTGTTATAATAATACCAAATCCATAAATATCTACTTCTTGTGTAAACTGCTCTTTGCCTAATAAAACTTTAGGGACAATATATGAAATGACTTCAAAAATTTCACTTTCTAAAATACATGTATTCTTTTTTCTAAACAATTCTAGATCTGCGATATAATATTGTACATCTTCATTAGTGCATTGGTTTTGCAAAATATTACTGCTATGAAAATCAGCATGAATATATTTTGCATATGCATGAATAAGATATAACTCATATAAAAATATCTTAAAGTATTTGTAATTTAGTTCACCATGTAAGTTTACTAAAATTCTCTCTTAAATATTTAGTATACTTGAATACCATCAAGTATTTATTGGTTTCTGTATTTTGGGTTATTCTATATTTTGTAAGCTTGCTATGATTTAATTTAATTTTATAAGACTTTTAAACTTAAGATTAAAATAATAAATTAATTTAATAAACTATTTTGATAGTTTAACAGTTTTTAAAGAAATACAAGAGAATCAAAAAATAAATAACTTGCTTTTGTTTGAACTTTATCGGTTTTCAAGAAGTCAAGAAAAACTCACTACTAAAATATATATATATATTAAAAAAATAGAGCAAGCTATTTAGTAGTTCTGTTAATGATTTGGGGCTATTACTATTTGCTAGTTAATGATCTTCTACTCGTTTTTATGCTAGAACTCGTAACAGTTTCACATATAACTATCCATATAACTTATCTGATCAACTACATTCTGATTCCTTTTCTTGCCCTAGTTAGATTTGCTAAACTTAAATTTAATATCTGGTCTACTTTGTGGATCCAGTTTAGTATTTCTTCTAATCATATATTAAAGGTAAGGGATATGTAGATCATTTTGTCATATGATTTTAGTAGTACAATAAGTTTTATATAGAAATTGATAATGTGCTACTAATAAAACTTTTTATAGTTGTAATTAATTTTAACCAAAATTTTATAAAATATAAATAAAATAATTTATCTATTATGATAAAATTTTGAACTATCATATTATTTAAAAAAAATATATTTATATATATTACAAAGTTTTTCTTGGTTGGCTCAAAATTTTCTGGAGTTACATAAAATTGCCAAATTTGGTTGGCTAGTCTATATAGGGGGAGTCAATAGAAATAGGACAAATCTATCCAATAAATTTGTCTCATTTCTATTGACTCCTCTCATATGTTAATTTTATTGATAAATTTTATATCCAATCTTTAAAGCTTTATATCTCACTGAGTTTTTAACTAATTTTAATGCTTTTACTACTATTAGAATTAGAAAGACCCACTCTACAAACATTTTTTAAGAATTAAAATTAGTTTACTTAATACAATTTTTATAAAATTAAATTTAATAAAAATTTACTATTAAGTTTATATATAATTTTAAAATAGTACCCCTACTTTTAACTATTCAAATCTAGATGAGTCTTGACTACTCTAGTAGGTTTAGGTCACAAATAAATTAGTCTAAGCTTTTATCCTTGCATGTAGTTTATATTTATTTATTTATATATGAATTAAGTCTTTATTCAGTTTTGTTTCTTTATAATTACTTATATAAATTACTCAATAAAAATATAAGCAAGGCCTTATCTTTTAATACCAAAAAATAATAATAATAATAATTAAATCTGTATTTAACAACCAAATCCAAATTAAATAGTTAAATCTGAATATAAATAATTATATCTAGATCTAAAAATTAACTTTACTAAGGCTTTTTCATCTTCTAATTTAAATTTATTAGAATATAAGTTAGCATAGTGTTCTTAATTAAAAATATCAGTATTTGGTTAACTTAAATACTGCACCTTATAAATTTATATTTTTTTTATAAACTCAATGACCTAGCTGAGTTATAAGAACTAAAAAATTAACTTTGCCTAGCCTAATATAATTTTTTATAAAAAAAAGAAAACTTTATATAAAAAAAATAAATAAAATTTTAATAAAAAAAATCAAATAAATGATCAATAATTTATTGCTGTTTTTGAAATGGTTGAGAATAGCAAGGATTTACAAAAAATAAATTTTTAATACAAAAACTAAAAACCTGATTTGTTTAGAAAAATAATTATTGATTGATTCCCGATTTATATAAAACTCAGATAATTGTTATTAATAAACAATTATACAAGATCAACTCCTGTTTACAATTGTCTGACAGTCATGCAATCATAATACACTTTATTTTTTTTTTAGATAGCTCTTTTGTTCTGCAATATGAATACTTTATTATACTTTATCTTGTTAATAGTACAATTTATTAAATTTCTATTATTAAAATTTTGTTTTAACCAAATCTAAACTATTAACTAATAATGCTACTTTTAACTAAACATTAAATGTTCTTTAGCTACACCTTAGACAATTAAAGCTTGTATTTTAATACTTTTTTTTTTCTTAAAATAAAAATAGACTCTAAATATATATATTGAAAATGCAAGGTTCATTACTATTATTGTAATTTGATATTCTTTTGTGAATTACATTTTCAGACTTGGAAAAAAAGTTAGATATTTATATAGATAGTAAATGAGTTGGACACTTTTCTTTCCTGGTTGAGAATGTTTAATCGCAAAAGGTTATCTTTGATAAAGCTTTTACTATCAGATTTGATAGAGAAATCAGATATTGATTATAATGGTAAAGTTAATTTTGGTAGTTAAAATATTTAAATGATCATTTTAATATTCAAAAATCATATTGCTTATTCTTATTTCTCTTTTATAAAAACAACCAGAGTTTCATTCTTGACATTCTTATTCACTGCTCTGTCTAATTACTGCGAAAAATTAGGATATAGATTTTAAAGTCATTGTATATATTATAGGCATGGACAGTAAATGCAATAGAGACTATAATATAGTTACAACTATAAATTTGATATTGGTGTTGAGAAGAATGCAAAGCAGGCTTTTAAATATTATACTAGGTAAATGGAAATCATTCAAAGTCCAAAGGACCAAATATAAAATTTAAATTTAATTTATACTATATTATATATAAATTTGACTATAATAATAAACATGTCAGTTTGTATTTTATATTACGCCTGATCTACAGTAGTCAATAAACGGTAGTTTCAGTTGTTTTTTTAAAATTTTTTACATTACACCTGATCTAGCCAATCAGGTTTCAAAATTTGTTAACACATGGATATCAGGAGTACTATTGCTCTATCTAGTAGTGTCCTTTGGACAATAAGAGCAGCTGAGTTAAAAGATTGGATGCAATGAACAAGGTTGGTCTTTGTTATTGTTATGAATTGGGAGTAGAAATAGATTATCAGAAATAATTCGAATAGTATAAGATATCTGCTGATTTCGGTTGTATTGGATTAGTGTGTAGTGTTGGTATTAGGGTTGGGGCATAGGGCTTGGGGCATGTCCCTATTATGTGATTTACTAGTGGCATATGATTGGCTAATTTATGCTTATTTAATCATATTATCAATTTAAGCTATTGCAAATGAACTTGTTCTTATTATCGCAGTTTGCATAATTTTGTGACCCCTTATGATTAATTTTTTTATGATTGAATGATTTGATTGCAATCATGATTTCTAAAACAGAACAACTTATCATTAATTTGAACTTGGCACAAACTCAAATTTATGTGCTTTAGCAATCATGATCACAATCACAATCATTTAGTCATAAAAAAATTAACTATAGGAGGTCATAAAATTATGCAACCACAATAATATGAACTCATTTTTACCAACTATCTTAATTAATGTAATGCTTTTTATTATACATATGTAGTTTAAATAAACCTATAAATACATTATCAGCCTTTAAATAATACAAAAATTATTTCTTTTATAATACTCCCAAGCAGTAACTGAGATTTTTATTTGATTTATTGTTGCAATTAAGTATCACTACAATTAAGTATATTTAAATAATATTGTTATTAGTAGTATTAACTTTTAGCTAAAATGTTATGACAATAGCTAAAAATTAGTCATAATATTTGTACACTATTCTAATTACTATAAATTTGCATCTAGGTTGATATTTTAAAACACCCTGAAAGAATAGTTAATGCAAATAAAGGTATTTAATAGTAAAAAGAATTATGTTCTTGATTTGAGAACTTTAAAATAATATATTTATAGGCTGAATAAAACAATTAATATGATAAAATGGTTGAAGAGTATATATAAAGAAAGATAAGTATTTATTTTTTGATTTTTGTCACAATGATTAATAAAAGATTTTTCTATTTACAACTGAATGAGCTAATTAATATGAATAAAATAATTTTAAAGAGTATTGCAAAATAATAAATAAATATTTATGTTCTTAATTTTGAACTTGATTTGTTGATCTTAACTCTGTCAATTAATAAATGTTTTTATAATCATAGGCTGATTAAAGTAATTAACACAAATAAAATAGTTGAAGATACTAAACAATAGTGAATAAGTATTATTTTTACAAACCTGTTTCCAATTTTAATTCCAACAATTAATAAAAGTTTTTTCTATTTACAACTGAATGAGCTGATTAACATAAATGAAATGATTTTGAAGAGTACTGCAAAATGGCAAATAAGTATTTATATTCTTGATTTTGATCTTGATTTGTTAATCTTAATTCTGCCAATTAATAAATGATCTTTATATTTATAGGCTAATTGAAGTAATTAACATGAATAAAATAGCTGAAGGTACTAAACAATAGTTGATAAGTATTATTTTTTATAAACTTGTTTCTGAATTAAACTTTAATATTAGTATTAATAGATACACCTTTTTTCACTAACAATTGTTTCAAAGTTTCTTGTTTATTATCATCATTAAAATCACAGAATTATATTTTTTATAAACCGCTATAGCTATCTTATTTCCTGCATTAGCAAAAATTTTTTGAAATAATCAAATTTTTATGTATTGATATGTATATTAATTAATAATATATTGTATATTTAAAATTGTTTCATAGTTTCTTGTTTATTATTACTATGAAAATCGCAGAATTATATCTTTTGTAAACTGCTATGGCTATCTTATTTCCTGCATTAGCAGGAATTTTTTAAAATGATCAATTTCTATATATCGATATGCATATCAATTAATAATATGTTGTATATTTAATAATTAAACTTTTAAAAAAAAACTCTTTCCTGTTCATTACTCATACAAAAATTTACCAAACCTGCATAACTAAAAAATTTATTGTTACAATAATTTATTAAGATAACCTATTTCTTTGCTCTAATAAAAGTTATACTCTATATAAAATTACATATAGTGTTAAAGTTTAACTAAACCAGCCCAAAACTCATTAAGCAACGGCCTTTTAGGCCAAATAGGCTTCTTTTGCCGTTCTTGCTGAAACTAGCTTCTAAACCTCTGTTCAAGTCTAGAAAACGTTTGTTCTGCACATTCTCCTCTTCAAAACAAGCTATAATAAACCTCTGTAGCTTCAATATTAACTGAGTTATAAGTAAACCAATTTCTATCTTGTTTATTTCTTTTTTTTCTCTTTTACTTTGGAAAAATTTTTTCCCCACACTTAGAGACGTTTTCTGTGCAACCCACATTGCCCCAATCGTGCTACCCACACCTTACACTTCTCTATAATTATTGGTATCTGTTAAATTACACCAAAATTATCTAATTATTAACTCATATCGCACAATTTTAATATCTGCTTTTTTAGTAACTTCTTATTCATACAATAAGATTTTCTTTTTTGTCTTGTGTAACATGTAATATCACATGACTTTGTGTAACTTAAAACTTTGAAATTCTATTTTTCAGTTATGTGACCTTGTGTAATCTAAAGATTAGACCCTTTTCTATTTTACTCTGAAAAATATATTTTAATATAACCTCTACTTTATCTTAGTACTCTTTTTTTAACTTGGAAAATTTTTCTTATTTTTAGATATCTCTATTATTATTACTTAAACTTTTTGTTATATTTTACAAATATAATTACTGCAAATACTAAAAGTTCAATATACCCACCATTTATTCAAGTTCATTATGCCTACTTTAATTGACCAAGATCCTGACATGGCAGATCTTAACCATTTTTATACTCACTGCAAAGGTAGCTTCGGAGTTGCATTCTTTGAAAGTGATAAAGCTGACAACATTAAACCAATTCCACCAAAACAAAGTCCAACCACCTGTCTTGTCAAATCCACCAGATCTAGTACCAAATCAACTTATTTCTTTAGTACTCCTGCTTCTACTTCAGTTGTTATCTGCTTATGTAATAAATACCACACCCAATTTATCTCACATACTAATACTATTTACCAACAACCTGTTAAAATAGGTAAAAACAAAGGTGCCAAAGCCACTAAACTTATTAACAGTATTTCTCAATTCTCTACCAACATACCCCCATCTCTAACACCTAAACCATGCCAACATACCTGCTCAAAATATCACAAAATTATTGTTTGTAAAATTATAAATGGCAAACATTACCTTTGTGAACTCTATTTCTTCATAAACAACAAAGTGTATCACAGTACCTGCTCTATAGAAGCCTCATTCTTCTCTACTGCTACAACTTCTACTTCAACCCAACACCCTCTTAAAGATGCTAGAAGAAACTTAACCCCAGCCTTTAAAGCTACTACAACTACCAAAACTCAAGCAACTTCCTTTTCTAATACTAACAATAACAAAAAAGTCTCCCAACTCTCTAATACTTTTAATGCCAATACTTCTTTACCCAAGCCTGCATACACACCTAAAACCCAACCTCAACCAAACCCTCTAACCCCAACACTTCAACCTCTACACTACTATCCCAAGTCCCTCACTCAATGGAAATTGATTCCAAATTAGTAAAAACTAAAACTCAATTTAATTCCAACTCACAATCTCAAGTTTCTCAGTCTATGGAAATAGATCTAACTGAACTCGATTTTGCTTAAACTGTTCTACCTCCTACATCTAATAACTTCACCTCTAACACAAATCAAACTACAAATAGCCAAACAACTCCAACTTTATTCAAACTACCCCAAGCCTCCAAACCTATCATTCTTACACCAGTTATAACTACTCAACTACCTAATCCAAATATACTCACTCAACCTCAAACTTCTATATTCAATAATCCAACAACCAACATCAATACTCAACTACCAAGTCCTACTTATAATAATACTAACCAAAACTCTACTCAACTTTCCAACAATACTAATCATACAAAGAATTACTATAATAGTACTAACAATAATACTAACGACAATAACAATAGCAACAAAAATATTATTAATTATGCTTCTGTAGTCAAGAAACCTAAAGCAAACCTCTCCTTTGATTAGTTTTCAATTTTCCTATTACTGAAGAAATAAAACCATGAACTAAACTAGAAATACCTATGGCTTCCCAACTTTTCAATTTTCTCAAACTCCACTTTCACAATTTTTACCCTGGCAAGATTCTTAAAGAAGCCAATTACAGAAACCCCTACCTACTTAAAGCTAACTTTTGTATCTCATCCACACTATGGCTGCAGCTCAACCCCAATTCCTATTAAATTTTATTTATACTAACAACCCTGATATTGATCCCAAAGCATCCATTAATTTTAACATCTTAAAAACTACACTCAAGAACTTAATCTATAAATTTACTTTCATTCTTTTTACCCAATTCAATTACCATGAAATTTTTGTCTCAGCTCTTACTATACCTCCATATAAGCCTGAAAACTGACTTCAATTTTGTCTCAACCTTGCTCGTATACATCTCTATCTCTCTGAAAACTACCAAAGTATCTGCGTAGAACACGTTTACTTAGAACATAAATATAGGTTTAATTAGTATAAATTTGTGAATTTTAATATTTTTCATAATTTTATTAATAAAATTATAAAAAATATTAAAATTCACAAATTTATACTAATTAAACCTACATTTACATTCTAAGTAAATGTGTTCTACGTATAAAATTACATCATATCAATATATGTTTACTTTATAATTTTAAAGTTTAAGAAAAAAAGATGCTTAATTTTGAATTTTAATTAAAAATTTCAAATTTAAGCATCTTTCTTTTAAACTTTAAAATTATAAAGTAAACATATATTGATATGATGTAATTTTATGCGTAGAACAAAGTTTACTTAGAGCATAAAGGTAGGTTTTATTGGTACAATTTTATGGATTTTAATATTTTTTATAATTTTAATAGTAAAATTATAATTGATACTATGATTTTTAAAATTTTACTCTATATAATTTAATTCAATATATAAATTTATATATATATAATTCAAACTCAAATAGTTTGACAAACTTTGAAATCAAATTCAAATCAAACCAAACTTAACTAAAAAGTTTAAGCTCAAACTCAAACCAAACTCAATTTTAAAAAAAGTTTGAGTTTGAGTTTGATTTAAAATCAAACCCAAACTCAAACTTGGCAAGAGTTTGATTTGATTTGATTTGATTTGATAGGAACCCTAATCATACTGCGAATAGCATGTGGGGCAAAAACTAAAATTAAATGTTGTATTAAAGTTACAATTGTAACTATGAAGTTGATCACAATGTTGAATACACAACTGTTGATCAGTTGAGGTTGTATTTTGATCAAAGATTTGACTGAAGATTTTCTGAGGATAGGAAGATGTATGAGAAGGCTTTATGGTAGTGTCACATTCACATAAGTCTATAGCAAGATTAGTAAAACAGAGCAAGCATATCTGGCACAAAAAACATGTACTGATCCTGTAAAGCAACATTTTTTTTTAGTAGGTATGGGTTAATATGAGTTGTAAAATTATTGGAATTAGTTGAGAAGTTTTTTTTTTTTACACAAAAGTTGTAATTAAATATTTATAAAAATCAATTGTTTAAACTTAATAATAATATATTTAAATTTTATTTAAAGATTTATTAAATCTGTTGTATAACAAATTATATTCATTGCATACAAATACTGTGTATACAAATGCCATCACACTGTAAAAAATAGAATCCAATATGTACAATAGTGGCAGTAAATTAATATGAGTATTTAACATCACTAAAATAAATGATAAAATGCAAATACTAGTAACTCTGAAAGAGCTATGTTCATGAACAAAACATCTAAATTCAGAATAAGTTATATTTCTTGTATGTGAAAAAGAATGCAGATACCAGTAACTCTGAAAAAAACTATGTGGACAAGCTATCTAAATTTATTAAAAAGTACATTTTCCTTGCATATAAGGAAAAATACAAATATTAGTAACCTTAAAAAGAAAAAAACTATGTAGACAAGAAAAAACTATATAGACAAAAGAAAAAACTATATAGACAAAAGAAAAAACTATGTAGACAAAGCAACACCTAAATTCACAAATAAGGTTCATTTTTTTTGTATGAGAAAGGAAAGAATGTGAATACCAGTAAACAAAACACCTAAACTCACGAATAAGATATGTTTTTTCTTGTATATAGCCCTGAAAAAAAATATATTCTTTTTGTATGTGAGGGACTCATGAGCTAACTTAACATAACTAGCTAATCTGATTATTAATTAATAACTAACTAATTATATCAAGTTGTTGAATATTCAAATATAAAAAATAATAGAAAACAAATAAAACAAATAAAGAGTTAACTCAATTGAATATTCTAGTAATATGAAAATAATTTACCTACTGTATAAGCCCAGATGTAATTATTTATTGATTTTTTGCTTTAAAATCTCCAAGTTTTGATGAATCTATGTCAAATATTACTAAATAAATTATTAATAATACTGCATTAAAAAGCACTGTTGATAGAACAAAAGTGAAATATGATAATAATAGTTATAATATAGTTTAATTTTTTACTTGCTGTTAATAGACAGAGTTGCATAACTGCAGAACTGTTAAAATAAAGTATGCATACTATAAAACAAAAGAGCAAAAGGGCTATTAAAAAAAATAAAGTGTATTATAATACACTTGCATGACTATCAGACAATTGTAAATTAATTTGAACAGGAGTTGGTCATGTAGGTTGTGTAATTGTTTATTAATAACAATTACTTGAGTTTTATATAAATCAGGAATAGATTAATGATTATTGTTCTAAACCAATCGAGTTTTTGGGGGTTTGGGTTTTTGTATTAAAAATTTATTTTTTGTAAATCCTTGCTATTCTTAACCATTTTGAAAACCACGATATATATATAAAAAAAAAGAAACAATAATATAAATTTAAAAAAATAATAATAATTTAATAAAAAAAAGAAGCAAATAATAATTTAATAAAAAAATATAATATAAAATAACAATAAAAAAAAAAAGTGATTTAATATAAAAAAAAAATAAAAAATGATAATTTAATATATAAAAAAAAGAAACAAATAATTTAATTAAAAAAAAAGAAATAATAATTTAAAAAAAAAGAAATATAATCAATAAAAAAAAATAATAAGAAGCAATAATTCAATATATATAAAAAAAAACAATAATTTAAAAATAAATTATGAAAACCGACAATTATCTGTACCAAAAAATCAAAACACATTTTTTGTAAAAACACAATAGCATTTAGTAAAACACAGAGGGTATACTAGTCGCTATAAGTCGGCAGTTGTTATTTAGAGGTAGTTCTCTTATGCTACCTGCTAACCTTTTCAAAGTTTATTACTCACCACATATACGGCACTTGTCGTTTATAAGTAGTTCTCATACACTACTTGCCGACAAGCCCAGAGTTTATCACTTACCAAAAAAAGAGTATAGGTGCCCCACCTCTTTCCTAGAAGAAGGTTTAGGAGTTGTTGAGTTTTTACATGGATGTAACTACTTTCTTTAGGTGCAAATAGTCTCTCCCTAGGTGTTTTTCACTCAGCCGGTCTTCTCTAAAATTTTCGACAAAAAGTGGGCGATTTGGCTTACTTTCTCCAAAAGATTGGCATTGTTTACCTCCCAAATTCAGACGTACCCAGGAATGCAACCATGTGTCTTGTTTATTAGTAAATATGATACACAACGTAGTCTATGAATACAGGTCCTCTATGTGACTAGGATCGGGTCTCTGGTAAGAGAGACATCCGGAGATAGTTGGTAGTCGAATAAAAATTGTTAGGTTTTATAGTCAAGATATACAAATGTTGCAGTTGTTATAAAATTTTTTTTTAAACCTGGCATGGGTTATAAAAGTGTACTTTTCCTTTTTCTTTTGTTCTATTTGTACTGCTTCTTGATAGAGGTAGTTCCCCTCTTTGTCGGCCCTTAGGCTTTTCTCTTTGATTTTCTTTTTTTACATTTCATTGTACTCCCTTTTATTTTTTCCTTTAAAAATTTCCCTTCATTCTATTTTTTTTTAGTTAGTTTTTCATTTTGTTTTCTTGGTACTATTAGTAGTTTTGTACTAGATATAAGATTATTACTTTCTTTTACTCTTAGTAAAGAAAAAGAATATGAAGGGAAAAGCTTTGACGAGCTAACAAAGTTTATCTAACTTGTTTACAGGTTGGTGCGACATGTCGCATCTGGGTGCACATGATGTAGCCAGGTGATGTCAAGCTTGCAATTTTTAATTAGATATTATTAGAATTTTTGAAACTTTGTTTTGTAATATGATTTGTATTTGAGCACCGACAAGACTGTCAAAGAATAAAAAAAAAAATAAAAATTATAATTTAATAATAAAAAAAGAAAAAAAAATAATAATTTGATAAAGGGATTATATATATATACCCAAAGGTACATATGGGGGCTCCACAGCTAAAGGTGGTGATGG